CCCGAGAGAGATTTTGGAGGAGCTCGAATGTTAGGTCAGCCAATTAGCTCTGTGAACACTGTCAATACCGACATTCTTTAAAGAGCAATGATTCATACCCCTTAAAAGTCCCACCCCATCACCCCGCACACACGTGGGGGCTGGGATTGGTAAATCAGTAAAAAAAAAAAAAGGTTAGCCAATCAAATGCAAAGGGGGTGACCCCAAAGGGATCTCAACTTTATTGTTCTTTAAATTATCATGAAAAAATTATAAAATAAATAAATAAATAAATTTAACTATTAAAACAAATAAACTCTAACTTTTTAATTTTATCAATTTAATTTTAATTTTTTTTAAATCTAAACTAATTTTTTTATTAATTTTACTTAATGAAAATAGACAAATAATTTAAATTTAAAAAAATTAAATCAAAAGATTAAGGTATATTGGGAAATTAAAACTTTAAGATTTTTTTGTTATAAAAGTCAAATCCTCAGATTTTTTTTTTTTTTGTTGTAATTTTTTCAATTATCATTGAATATAATTTTATAATTTTTTAACGAAGCATTTTTTTTTCCTAATACAATTTTAAAATTGAAACGATAAAATAATATTATATTGATTATTGAGAGAGTGTCCATATAATTAGTTCTAAAATTACGTTTGCAATTACTAAAAAAAAATGCTAAATATATTAGTTTTTAAGCAAAAATTATAGATTTGGATTGTCTGCAATAATTATTCTTACAATAATATTATAGTTTAAGCAAAAACAAGATGATTTAAACTTAAAACACTATAACATAGGAATGACATTTTTGAAATTGTAAACCATAGATGAGTTTGTGTACATATAACTTTAATTTGAATTGAGAGAGAATGTGGTTTTGCATACAACTTTTATACTACAATCCATAGCAAGGACTTCCAGTTACAGGGTTTGGTAGTCTGAGACTGTGAGTTCATTTTTGGACATACAGAAGAGAGCTAATAAGAGAAAGAGATATGGTAAATTCATGGTCCCAACCCAACCCAACCCAATTTCCTTTGTAAACAACAAACCATACCATATCAGTCCAACACTTCCCCTCACCTGCAAAATTTCCAAATGATGGACTTAATAATTAGTATATATATATATACTCTCTCTCTCTCTTTCTCTCTCTCTCTCTCTCAACACACACACAAAAGCAACCCATTACAATCCATATCTTACCTGCTACTACACTTGCATTATGCAAAGAGATATACTTACAGATGAGTGATCATCGTCAGAGAGCACAGAGAGAGAGCTAGGAGTGAGAAACCCATGTTGGAGAAGGGGAGCACGTGCAGAGTAGCTTGCTCACTAGCACGTGGAAATTCTGAGAACTTGCACGTGCCCTGCTTCTCCAACAAGAGCTACTCACCCATCATCCACATAACCATGCCATGCAACTATGACCCACAATTCTAATGAGATGAATTGCCACTGCAACATAAGCTTGTCTGTATTTATAGAGAGAAAGAGTAGAGAGAGAGAGAGAGAGAGAGTGAAGAGAGTTAAAGCGATGGAGTCTTGGAGTGGCATTCTTTAAAAGACCATTGAAGAAGCAAATCAGTATATGTTTGTATGTGTTTCTCAATTTCCAGCTGAGGAGAGGAAAGAAAGAAAGAAAAAAAAGAAAAGAGAGAAGAACCTTTTGCCTTGTCTTCGCCATCTACATTCTTAACACACACTGCATACAAACAAGACAGATTTGATCAGAAAAGACATAAAAATCATTCACAAAATTATTATTTACAAATTTTAAAATTAGAATTCCACCAATAATTTTTATAAAATATATTTTATAGGAGAATTATAACATAGTGGGAATTTAAAAATATAAAAATATATAAGATACAAATGATTATGTGATAAGGTGCAAGTGAAAATATTAGAAAGATTGCAAATGTAGTTTGTACCCCTTCTATATTTATGTAAAAAGGAAAAAAAAATTATCTTACTAAGATGTAATTTTTCCTATTTTATATTTTATTTTTATATTTATGGCACAATTTGATTCAAAAGTAAATTCAAAAGACTTTGATAAATGCATTAAATGAAATCTTGACGCCCACAATGATGTGTGACACCTCACCCCAATCAAACATTGGAGTGTTAAGTGTCTGACATACACGCATGTGATGAAGGTTGGTTGATGTATTTATAAGGAGTAATGTTAGATACTCTAAATATTTTATTAAAAATTTTATCAAATGTTTCATATGAGTGTGGGACTCACATAATATGAGTTTCATGTGGATTTCATACCCATATGAAACATTTAGTAAAACTTTTGATAGAATTTTTAGAACCTAACATTTTTGATTTATAAGATACAAAAGGGTGGATTTGACCTCAATT